CCGGGAACGCTGCCATCCACTAACGGCAGACTCCGATTCACCGCTGCGAGGCGGGCAGGGCCGGGGCGGCAGCTGAGACGCCTCTCGGGCAGCGGCCCCACCTCCTGGCCCGCCGAGGCCCTCCGCCGCGCCCACCCTCCTGGGCCATGCCCGACCAGACCGGGCCCCAGGGCCCCGGAACCTCCGCGGCTCCGAGAGCACCCGTCCCCGCAGCGACACCACCCTCACATCCCGGAGCACGCAGACCAGAAAACGTGTCCCCCGGCATGAGACCTGCCCCCCAGCCCCAAAGTGTCGCCAGCCGAGAAATGGCGAAGCCTGGCCGCCGGCTATGCAGCGCCAGCGATCGGCAAACCGCGTGGCCCCGACCTCAGGCGCGCGAGGACCCCCAGACCGGGAAAGCGTGGCCAGAACGGGCCCGCGAAGCCCCCAGCCGGGGCCGGAGAGGCCACCGCGCCCCGGCTCCCGCAGCCCCCGGCTCCGCTCACCCTCGATGGAGATGACGTGCTCCCGGATCTGATTCTGCAGCGCCAGGTCCTCGATGCGCTCGATCAGGTCGTAGATGGCGTAGATATTGGGATGCACGGACTCGAAGCGCTGGATCTCGGCCCGGATGGCCGCCGAGTTGGAGAGCGCGAACTGCTGGGGGGGCCCGCCGGCCAGCTGCTGCGAGGGACCGCCGCCGCCCCCGGCCCCCGGCCCTGCGCCGCCGAACTGCCCGCCGCCCCCCGCGCCGCCGCCGCCGCCGCCTCCCGGCGCCGCCAGGCTCGGCTGCTGCTGCGGGCTCTGTCCCCCGCCCGCCTGGAAGTTCATGGCTCCGGAGCCGCGGGGCCCGAGGTGGGCCCGGCCGGGGCCCGGGGCGGCGCTGCGGCGGCGGCGGCGGCGGGCGAGCGCGCGGGGCTGGCGGGGCCGGGACTACGGAGCGGGCGGCGCGGGGCTAGTGCATGGGGCCGAAAGCTGGGGGCCAAGGCCAAGAGGCGCCACTGCGCACGCTGGGGCCGCTGCTGCCGGGCGCTCCCCGGCGCCGCGATCCCGCTGCCTGGAAGCCGCCTCCAGCGGCAACAACAACGGGACCGGGAGCGCGCGGCCCGGGCCCTCCCCCCCGCGTCATGCGCACGCACCACCGCCCCCGCCGGCTCCGGCACACGCAGCCCGAGCCCCCCTCCCCGCCGCCCCCGCCCCTCCTGCGCGCGGGCCCCAGCGCCCCCGCCCCTCGCTCGCTGGCTGGCAAAGCAGCCTCCACCCCCGAGCCGCGCGCTCAGCCCCGGCGGCCGGCCCCTCCCACCCAGCCTGGGCCCTTCCGCCTCCTTTCCAGCCCCCACCACACCAGCTGCGAGGGCCACTCGCTTGGAAGGGACAGCTGCCCTGCCCGCCTCGCGGCCCCAGCTGTCGCTTTCGCCCCCCTGCGCTGGTCTGGGTGGAGTGTCTGTTCTCCGGGCAGTGCCGGGATGCTGATGAACGCAGCTGGTGGGCCAAGGATGGTCGCCGGCCCGGACCCAACTGCGCCTCGCCTACACTGCCCTGCCGTCCGTGCAGCACAGGCTCCCCTGTCCCTGCGCCCAGAGGTCACCGCTAGAGACCACGCCAACTCAGGGTTCTTTCTCAGGCCCTCCCTGGACTTTCCATTGCCGGCTGCGGGCACCGAGGCTGGGAATCTGGGTCCCGGGTTTCTATTTCCAGTTCTTCCTGAGACCTTCATCTGCGGGGCCCTTGAAGATGACACTTGAAACAACGACCTCGCTCTTATCTTCCAGCCTCTCCTAAAAGATCCCCACTGCCGAACTGGTGGAGGATTCAGTGAACGCTGCTGGACCTCCCTGGAAAGGGGAAGGAAGAAAAGAATCAAGTATTATGCCTTCTTCTCCCACTCACCCCATGTAAGACACTCACCAGGGTCCACATGATGGCCTGTTTTCTTGTTTTCTCTCCTTTGTCCATCCTGTGTTCCTGCCCACTCCCAGGGCCAGGAAGCCCCCTTCAATGTCCTAGTTCCTCTGCATCCTCATTGCTAAAGCTGAATGCAGATTCGCTAGCCACCCCCTTCCCCCCAACTTTTCCTAAACCCCATACGAGTTGGCTTGTGCAGAACCCTGGCCCCTGCCAATCAGCCTGCTGGGACTCTACCCTGATGTCCCCTGGCACAGTTGACAGATACCATCCTTTTTACATACACTTACACTTCCCAGGCCAAGCTGGGTATTTTCCCAGCATAAAGTTGCCCACCATTTAAGCTACCCACAACCACTTGACCCCAGTACCAACCTGGTCACCATTCCTAAGTATCTTGGACTTTCCAAAGAACCTGGTGCAAGCTAATCAACACCTTGGGGCCCCCCAAGCTCCAGAGAGGTGTGGGTCCTACCTACCTGCTTGATCTGAGAATGTCTTTCACCCTCTTTGGGTTTCATCTGAAGAAATATAGTGGTTGAACAGATCATCTAGCCTGATGTTCTGTACGTCTAAAAGCAGTACCCAACATATATTTTAGATGCTTAATTAGAACTGACAGCAAGAAGTTGCAGTAGGTACCTCCCAGGAGAGATGCTGAAGGTAAAGAGCCCCTCGAAAGTATTGCCCCAGCAGTCGGCACACACCTGTTTTAGCACTAGTGGGCTAATTGTCTGTGTCCTCTATTAGTACATTAGCTACATGAGGGCATGGGTACAGTCAGATTTGCCATTGTATTCCCAGAGTCTGACCCAGTGCCCAGCACATGGTATACATTTAATAAATACTTCTAGAATAAATGGATAAATGGGAAGGAACCAGAGATAAGTTATTAATAGTTCTGTATGTTGTAATTCTAAACTGACAGTCCCAAGGCAACATTTGGAGTGTTTGCTCCCATAAGTAGGCACAGGCTATCAGGGCACCAGGGTACATTACTTTTAATCAAGACTGACCTATAAAGTCTGTGGCTATAGGAGCCCAAAGGAAGGAGGGAAAACCCATAGAAATTAACTTGGCTCAGGCCACACAAGGCTCAACATCACCTGTACAGTGATACTCTAAGGATACAATTTCTGAGCCCAAATTTGAGTGGAGGAAGCGTTCTAAGTGAGTAAATGTCTACCGTGTGACAGATCCCCTATACAGTTTTCACACTTCTTTAATAAAACACTGAATTTTCCCCATTACAATTGTTTTCCAAGGTAAGTTTTAAGAATGAAGAAATTTGGGTTCATGTAGATTCAATAACGCACTCAAGGTCATATATTTGATAAGCACAGGATAAGGAGTCAGAATTTTTTGCCAGGTTCCCAAGTCCATGCTCCTCACACAGTCTTACAGGAGCCCAGTGGAGGAGGGGCCAGGTAAATAAGGCAGCCCCAAGCCCCCCCAGAGGATGAGATGGTTGGATGGCATCACTGACTCAATGCATTGGTGATGGACAGGGAGGCCTGGTGCGCTGCAGATCATGGGGTTGCAAAGAGTCGGACAGGACTGAGCGACTGAACTGAACTGAAATGAAGCCTCCCATGGCCAGCCATGAAAACCCATCTCCTCAGCCAGCCTTGGCGGGGACAGCCCGTAGCTACTGGGCTCTGGGCTGAAGAGTCAATTTGGAGGGTCCACTCTGACTTAAGAGTAGGACGGCGTAGGGTCCACCTGCGCTCCGCAAAGACTGCACCACCAAACACGGGGGGTGGGGGGCGGGGGGCGGTGATATGACAAGCTCAGCCAGAAACCAGCGTCAGCTGGTTTCTGATGTGATACACGTCCTGGCTGCCCGCGGGCGAGGGAGAGGATCCTGCTGTCCCCCACCCCGCCCCGAACCTCTGCGGTCTAGTACAACCTCAAAGGCGCCCCCGCCAGCCCCTCAGCGACCTGTGGGCGCTGGGCGCAGGCGGCCGAGCCCCGCACGTGGGTCCGCAGCGCAGAACGCTGGACTGCGCATACTTCCAGACTACAAGACCCACAATGCTCCGGGCGGCGGCGGCAGCGGGGAAGGAGGGGGTGCCTTCAGGTGTCTGCGACCTCGCCACCTCCCGCCCGGAAGTGCCCGAGGGTCCGCTATGGAGCTGGCGGAGTCGGGCGGTGAGTCCCTGCGCCTTGGCCACCCCACCTCGCTGCCCCAGCAGCTGGCCCAGCTGGCCCCGCCCCGGGATCTCCCGCGCCCGCCAGCCACTCGGGGTGTGGGGGCTGGCGGCGGGAAGATGCGAAGGGTGGTGGAGGATGGAGGTGGGGAGGGCAAAGTCTCGGGTTCCCAGGCGAGACCAGGGGTCTTGCAGCAGGCTGGGTTTGGAGACGCTTCCCAGGGGAGGTGCGGGGTCGGGACGCCTCGGGTGGGGTTTGAGTGGACCAGGGGGGCCGACTTGGGGTGGGGGTAGGGGTGGGGGGGTAGGGGTGCGGGGGTGGGAACCCTCGGAGGTTCCAATTTGCCAAAGGGCAGCAGTTTGACATTTGGAGTGGGGAAGCCTTGGGAAGACGTCCTGTGCTGCGGGTGGGGGCGGGGGTTGGCTGAATTATAAGGGGGGGGTGTGCGTGTGTGTGTGTGTAGAGACCTTTCTTCTTCTCCCTTGGAGAAACTTTAGTGATGGAGCAGTATTAACAGATAGGCTTTGCTATGAAATAGGCAAAGGAGTAGATAAACTTTGAGATGACCTAGGTGGGAAGAATAGGTAAGCTTTGGGGTGGTTTGGTGGGGGCTGCATTTAGGGGAGAGGCTGCTTAGAAGGTCAAAGCTCTGACTTCAGAATAGGGTTTCGGTGAACTGGGGAACTGCTTCAACACCTGAAATTTAGGTTACAGAAAATTAGGACTTGTGATTTGGTGTTGGGAAGAGGTAGGTGGGGCAAGTTTGGGGTGGCCAGGTGTCAAGCAGTGTATGTCCCAGAGTAGGGCTGGGATAACTGGGAGGAATGAGGACTGTGGGAGAGTTGTGGTGGGGTGAGGTCAGGGGCCTCCTGAAGGTCAGAGGGCTCTTGGCGGGTGAACCAGCCCCTCACGGGTTCTTTGTGCCTCTCCAGCTCGGTAGCACGGCGGGCAAGGCAGGTGCCATGGCCCTGATTGAAGGGGTAGGTGATGAGGTGACCATCCTGTTCTCGGTGCTTGCCTGCCTTCTGGTGCTGGCTCTCGCCTGGGTCTCAACGCACACTGCCGAGGGCGCCGATCCACTGCCCCAGCCGTCAGGGACCCCAACACCAACGCAGCCCAGCGAGGCCATGGCGGTCACGGACAGCATCAGAGGGGAGGCCCCAGGAGCTGAGACCCCCGGCCTGAGACAGCGAGGTCAGGCGGCACCACCAGAACCCAGCGTGGGGCTCACAGCAATGCCGCCACCTCCGGACTCCCCCCAGGAGCCCCTGGTACTTCGGCTGAAATTCCTCAACGATTCCGAGCAGGTGGCCAGAGCCTGGCCCCACGACACCATCGGCTCCCTGAAAAGGTAAGCCGGGAGGACGACAGGAAAGAAGTGCTAAAGAGTGGGGCGGGGATGATCACAGTCCTAGAAGGGCCCGCAAAGATCCAGGAGATCCTCTTATAGATGAGGAAACTGATGAAGAACAACACACTGTGTTGTTCCCCTGAAACAGGAGGGCCCCCCACACACACACCATGGAGGCCAGCGGTGAGGGTGGGAGAGTTATTCCGGACCAGGGGCCAGGAGTGCCTGAGACCCACTCTATTACCCAGGTCCCTCTCTCCTCAGGACCCAGTTTCCCGGCCGGGAACAGCACGTGCGACTCATCTACCAAGGGCAGCTTCTAGGAGACGACACCCAGACGCTGGGCAGCCTTCACCTCCCTCCCAACTGTGTCCTCCACTGCCACGTGTCCACAAGGGTGGGTCCCCCCCACCCCCCCTGCCCACCGGGGTCCGAGCCAGGCCCCTCCGGGCTGGAAGTAGGCAGCCTGCTGCTGCCCCTGCTCCTTCTGCTGCTTCTCCTGCTCTGGTACTGCCAGATCCAGTACCGGCCCTTCTTTCCCCTGACCGCCACTCTGGGTCTGGCCGGCTTCACCCTGCTCCTCAGCCTCCTGGCCTTTGCCATGTACCGCCCGTAGTGCCTCCGCGGGCTCTTGGCCATGCCGCTGGCCCCTCGGGACCTTGCTCTCCACGACAAGGTGGGAGCTGCTGTCTGCCCAGGCCCGCCTCTCCGACTTGCCTCTTCCCGCTACCCTGGAGCCCAGCGCTGCGCCGCAGAGCACTCCGGGGGTCGGCGGAGGCCCCTCCCTGTGACCTTCCTGGCTCTGGGCCACGTCCCGGGGCAGCTGGCCCTCAGTGCCCCCTGACAGTGGGCTACCCCAGGTCAGACAGCTGCTGTCACTGCCTCGGCCCTGGACAGAGTGGGGCCACGCCCCTGGGCCCCTAGGGCTTAGCCTGAGGACCTGGGCACCTCTTAGTCCCGGATGACTCCTTGGATGGTTTGGGGACCCGAGGACTGGGAAGGGCTGGAGAAGGGGAGTCGGGATGGGTAGAGGGGGCTTTTTGGAACACCTGCAGATTAAATAACTGTGAAGTTTTCACTCTTGGCCTAGAGTCTGCGTGTGTGGGTCGGGGAGGGGGGCTGCCTGGAGCTCTTGCCTACTGGGAGAAAAGGGGTGGGCCAGACGCTTCGCCCTGCCCTGCCCCGCCCTTCCAGGCCAACCGCTGCCAACTCCCCTCTGCACCCCAATCTCAGCCCCCAGCCCTTTGGCCCCGCCCCGGTCCCGCCCCTGTCCTGTGGCCCCGCCCCCTGCTTCCGGGAAGCTGCGCGCGCACTCGCACGCGCGGCGCCTTGGCGCGCGGGGCTTGCCGGGAGCCACGTCTTTTGCTGGCGGAGGACTTACTTGGCTCGGCGATTGGCGTCCGGGCTGCGCGGTTCGGGGGCTGCCGGGAAGATGGAGGACTCGGTGGCCCCCTGATGAGGAGGCCGCGGGGGGAGCCCGGCTCCCGGGCCCCGAGACCGACTGAGGGAGCGACCTGCGCGGGGCCTGGGGAGTCATGTAGGGGTGGCGCCTGCGGGGCGGGCCGCGGGGAGGGGCGGCGGGAGTTGGTGTTGGCGACCGCGACCACGGTCTCCTGACAGTACCCCCGGGCCGCGGGTGGGGGTGTGTGTGTAGTGGGAGCCCCCCTGACACCGCCGACTCCGCGCCGTAGCGCAGGCCGCGCCCGCGGGCTCCACGGGCGCCCTCCGAGGTGGGCCTTGCGTTCTCGTTTCACAGGCGAGAAGGTTTGGGCAGGGAGACCGAAGCCACTTGTCCAAGGTCACGCAGCTGGTAAGTGGGAGCGCCCAGCATGGAACCCAGGACCGCGGAGCCCGCGCTCCACCCTCCGGTACCGCCGCCGCCTCCTGCGGGAGGGGGAGGTGGTCGGGGGTAGGGGGGAGCGTATCTGTGGGGCGAGCTGGGCTCCAAGCTGGGCGCGACCACTAACCAGATTCGGGACCTCGGGGCTTGCCTTAACCCCCTCGCCTCTCTGGGCCTTGGTCTCTCCACCTGTGAAATCGAGATAGTACCAGCCCCTGCCTACCTCCTCACGGGCGTGTCAGAGGAGGATCAGAGGAGATGATGCATGTGGAATTGCTCTGTAAAAATCCCTCCGTGAGAACTCTGAAGGATTCCGATTGCTCTCTCAAAGGTTGGAAGGAGTCAGAGAGGGGTGGGTTGGGGAAGAGGACCAGAGCAGTCACAAAGAAGGGCGAAGAGAGCCCGGGTTGCTCTGACCCCAGGCTTCTCGGGATGGGGAGTAAGGTGAGGAGTAGAGAGCTGGTCTTTCTCCCATTTGGAGAATACCTCACTCCCTTTTCTGGGCCACCCCTCAGGGTCTCCAGCACCCAACTCCATGCTTCGAGTCCTGCTCTCTGCCCAGGCCTCCAGTGCTCGTCTGTCTGGCTTGCTGCTGCTCCCACCAGTACAGCCCTGCTGTCTGGGACCCAACAAATGGGGAGACCACCGGCCTCCTGGAGGAGGCCCCCGTGCAGGCCCTGTGCAGGGGTTGCAGCGGCTTCTGGAACAGGCGAGGAGCCCTGGGGAGCTGCTGCGCTGGCTGGGGCAGAACCCCACCAAAGTGCGTGCCCACCACTACCCTGTGGCACTTCGTCGTCTAAGCCAGCTCTTGGGGTCTCTGCCGCGGCCGCCTCCTGTGGAGCAGGCCACACTGCAGGACTTGAGTCAGCTCATCATCCGAAACTGCCCCTCCTTTGACATTCACACCATCCACGTGTGTCTGCACCTTGCAGCCTTACTGGGTGAGGACGGTGTCTAGGGGTGGGTGGGTGTTAATGGAAGGATAGAGAAACTGTAGCAGACCCACCCGAGATCACTGACAGATCCCACCTCTGGCTTTGCCAGGAACGGCACACTTGCTGAGTGATGCCACACTTGCTGCTGCTCTGCAGAATCCACAACAGTTATCACGAATCAAGCAGCATGAGTCGTAGCTTAGATTAGGGTGCCATCCCTTTTTTGTTGTTTAGTTGCTAAGTCATGTCTGGCTCTTCTGTGACCCCATGGACCATAGCCCACCAGGCTCCTCTGTCCATGGGATTCTCCAGGCAAGAATACTGGAGTGGGTTGCCATTTCCTTCCCTAGGGGATCTTCCGGACCCAGGGATCAAACCTGTGCATTGGCAGGTGGATTCTTTATCACTGAGCCACCAGGTATCTTCTAATACAGTGCCCTAGGGAGCCACTGCAATTTATCACCATTGGCAAGAGACGAGATCCTACTACCTTCCCTGTATAGGGTCTTCCCCACAGACTGTTGTGATACCTTTATTCACGTGGTAGTTCCCGTTTCTCTGGTGGTTCTGCGTGCTCTGTAGCAGAGCTTCCAGCCCAGAAAACAGAGATGAGAAGGACTGGGGATTCACTAACTAAAACTGCAGGATTGCAGCAGAGCAGAGCAGCTCCTTCCCTGCCTCCTTTGACCCTCTACCTCTCAGGCTTCCCATCAGATGGGCCCCTGATTTGCACCCTGGAGCAGGAGCGAAGGTTCCGTCTCCCTCCGAAGCCACCGCCCCCTCTGCCGCCTATCCTTCGCGGTGGGCAAAGGTTGGAAGCCGCTCTAAGCTGTCCCCGTTTCCAGCGGCGGCCTCAGCAGCACCTCATCCGCAGCCTGGCAGGTGCTGGAGAGGGGGACAGGTGATGGGGGGGTGGGGGCAGGCGGTATCTGCTGGAATCTTGCCCAGGTCTGGCCTGAGGGTCCAGCGTGATAAGCTGTTCTTCACAGAGGCCAGGCCCGAGGAACTGACTCCCCACGTGATGGTGCTCCTGGCCCAGCACTTGGCCCGCCACCGGTTGAGGGAGCCCCAGCTTCTGGAAGCCATTGCCCACTTCCTGGTGGTCCAGGAAGCCCAGCTCAACAGCAAGGTGGGATTGCCTCCCACCTTCCCAGGCTCCTCTCCTGATGGTTCTCAGACACCCTGGCAGGCCTAGCTGCCCACCCCTCCCCCCCTTGTCCACTTGATTGGCTGCTACTTAATGCAGCAGACCACCCACCTAGGCTCTTTGTCCTTTCCCCTGGGGTACCACCTAGGCTCACACCACCACTGGCTTGTCCAACCCCCCCCAGGTACACCTGGTTCTCTGCACTTCTCCAAACACCGTTAGCCACTGTCTTAGCTTGGTTGATCCCACTCCACCAAGTCTTTAGGGCCAGAACCCACAGCCATGTCTCTGCTTGTTTGGAGACTGACCTCACGGGGCTCGAGCAGTGCTTATGCTGTTGAGCGTCTGTGCTGTAGAGGGGACTGTCCTGCCTTTCCAGTGACTGATGTTATCAGCTTGCAGGCCAATCATTCCTGAGGTTCAGCTTGTAAAGAAGACCAGAGAACCTTCCCCCTGGGTGATGGGCTGCTCTTTGCCCCACAGGTGGTACAGAAGTTGGTCCTGCCCTTTGGGCGACTGAACTATGTGCCTCTGGAGCAGCAGTTTATGCCCTGCCTTGAGAGGATCCTGGCTCGGGAAGCAGGGGTGGCCCCCCTGGCAACTGTCAACATCTTGATGTCACTGTGTCAGCTGCGGTGCTTGCCCTTCCGAGCCCTGCACTTTGTCTTTTCCCCTGGTTTCATCAACCATGTCAGTGGTGCGCAGACTTCGGGGGCTGGCTCTGTCCTGGAGGGCCGGGGGGCCGGGGAAGCAAGAGTGAGGGTCTGCACCCCAGTAAGCCTCGTCCTGCTTTCCCCACAGGCACCCCTCATGCCCTGATTGTGCGGCGCTACCTCTCCCTGCTAGACACAGCGGTGGAGCTGGAGCTCCCAGGATATCAGGGCGCCCGCCTTCCCCGAAGGCAGCAAGTGCCCATCTTCCCCCAGCCACTCATCACTGACCGCGCCCGCTGCAAGTACAGGTGGGTGGGCAGTTGGGGGAGGGGAGGGGAGGGGAGGGGTCGGCTGGCGAGGAGCACCCGGGTAGACTGGCCTGGGGGACCCTGAGCTGTGTATGCTGCTGTGCTCTGGGTCACCAGAAAGCTAAGCCCTGAAGGCCATTTCCCAGCATGGGTGTGGAAGTAGGTGGGACCAAGCTAAAAAGAGTGCCCTGGGGGATCTTCTGACCCGGGCTCCTCTCCCTTCAGTCACAAGGACATAGTAGCAGAGGGGCTGCGCCAGCTGCTGGGGGAGGAGAAATACCGGCAGGACCTGACTGTGCCTCCAGGCTACAGCACAGGTGAGCTCTGGGTGGGCCGGCGAGCCCCCGGGAAGCAGAGCCTCCGCCGGAAGCCAGTGGCTCTTTCTCTCCCGGCCCCGCAGACTTCCTGCTGTGTGTCAGCAGCTGCGGCGCGGTGCTGCCCGTGAGAGCCCAGGACCCCTTCCTGCCGTACCCTCCCAGGTCCTGTCCCCGCGCCACCCGGGACCCTGCCCAAAGGTAAGGCGGGAGCCTGGGAGAGCCTCCCCGGCCCCCACGCATAGCGCCTGAGCCGCAGTCCCTTCCTCTCCAGGGTGGTGCTGATGCTGCGGGAGCGCTGGCACTTCTGTCGGGATGGCCGGGTGCTGCTGGGCTCCCGAGCCCTGCGGGAGCGGCACCTGGGCCTGATGGGCTACCAGCTCCTGCCGGTGAGGCCCCGCCCCCACCCCACGCCACGC